ACACACACACACACACACACACACACACACACACACACACACACACAGCACCCCACCCCCATTATAAAACAGATTTATTCTTTGGGGGTTTTCAACAAAAACTGAAAAGCCCTAAAGACCTTTCAGGAGGCAAGGCTTTAGAATTCAGAAATAAACTACTGTGTTTTGAGCAATGCTGTATTTGCTGGGAGAAGACCGTAAATTTGGGTTGAGGAGCATGAAAAAGATGTTGAGTAGGTCCCCGGGGCAAATCAGAAATCATTTGTTGAACATTGGCTCCTGGACTCTATGTCATATTCTCTTTTTATCTGAGACATCACCCCTGGCCACGATGAGCATAGGGTAGTAGCTGGTATAAAGATGAATGCAACCAGTGCCCTATGTGAACTGAACTGAGCTGGTGAATATCAATAAAGAAAATGCAGTTACTGTGTGTTTGTCTAGCAGGCACAGCATGTAGGACCCTGTAGGTTATTCAGATACAATGGGCGTCATCTAGGGACATGTAGATATGAAATCAAACTCAAGTTCTGCTCCGAAAGTCATGGGTTCCAAGATAGTCTTTATCCACTCAGAGTCTCAGATCAGTCTTATTCATTTAGAGCAAGAAGTGCCTAATTCCCCCAAGAAATTATTTCCATGCTGATGATGGGGCCTATAATCCATCATCAAAATAGAGAAGTGGCCAAAACTGTGAGAGGGATGATGTAAGGAGGAAAGTGTACCTAACAAGAACCTGAGACTTTCCAGTGAGGGAGGAGGGAATTTCAGTTCATAAAGGAAAGCAACAAGAAAGAGAGGCATGAAGGTGTCATTTACTGTGCATTGACACCTCAAAGTATCTGATGTTAGATTAAAGGAGGGCAAGGAGAGAGGCATACCCACGAGTAAGGCTGGGGTATGCTGTGACAGTGAACATGGGAAGAGAGGATGAGTGATCAAAATGACACCTGAGATGGGCCCTGTAGATAAAGGCTACTATTTGATGAGACCCTCTTAAATCTGCATTGTTTGGCTTTTAGGTAATATGTTGTTTATCTTCAACTAAATGGCTCTCTATTTGTGCTATGAACCAGATGACAACAGTCCTCATAGAGGGAAAAGGGCTGTCATTGTGCCATCTTTGTGGGAGCTCCAAGCAGCTGACAGTAGAAGGTGGAGCCAACTGTTGCGGAGAAACATTTTCAGAGAAGATGAAAATACGGGTCTTGTTGGTTTAAGCAATGATATACACCAGTGATGGCTGCTCACTTTTTGGTTGTTCTTGTTTGTATTGGTTTGTTTTAATTTTTATTCATATACAAAGAGCTAGCATGGTTTCTTTCACTGCGTGCATGTCTTGCTTATCAATTCATTCATTAAGTCCAAGAACCAACCATGAGACTCATGATTTGAGGGAATTCAAGGCATGAATGGGGAGGTGAGGTAGCGAAGGAGGTAACCTGCCAGCCTCCAGGTGTTCACCCAGTCCTTGTGTTGAGTCAGACATGAGTGAAGCATCCTTTGGGATCCAGCCTAAAAGACCTTCAGAAAACATGGCTCTCACCACCTGATCTACCACTCACACACGAGTCCAGCTAACTGAGAAAGATCAGAATAAATGATTGCTCTAAGCCAACATGTGTTGGGAGGTTTGCTGGGCTGCAATGCCTAGTGAAACTGCAGCAAAGCAGGGTCGGCTCACTGTGTCCATGTGTATGAACTGTGTCCATCCCAACAATAAACTTCATATTTTCTGATGTAAAACCATGACCATTTTTTTCCAAAGAAAAATCCCAGGATTCTTCCATATACATCGGATAAACCTCACAATTATTTTTAAACATCAACTACTGGGGTTCTTAAGAGAAATCTTTGGACTCCTGTGATTCTCTAACTATTGCTTTAATTGAAATTTTCATGTGGGAAGTGTGTCTTTTTCCAAAGTTCCTGCATGGCAGCCTGTACAGAGCCAGGCATCATTACATACAATAAATATCCTGAGAACAATGGAAAGAATAAGGAAATTCCACCAGATTGTCCTCAAGTTACAAAATTTCTCCCCAAAGCCACGAGGTATACCTGTGTGGCTGTAAACAGCTATCTAAGATTTCAGTGCAGTGAGTCATCTGAGATTGGGTAAGGATTTTGTCTCAGAGTCTCTGACGTCAACAATATGCTATAGAAGGACGTTGTACCTAATGTCTTCTCAAACATTCCAGGGACCTTATAACCCACTCCTGGAGTCCCAAGAAGGTTTATTCTCCTTGATTTCTGGACGCCTCCCATCAAGTTCCTTGGGCCTTCATGGGGATGACCACTTCCTCTTTCCCTCTTAAGGAAAGAGCCAAATCCTGGGAAGTTGGTGATTTTTTAAATGACCAAGTGTAGGGAAAAGGGTGAGGAGAGATCATGCTGTTAGGAGGCTCTGGGGATCCTACAGAGGAATTTCTCAACAATGAGGAGTACGGTCATCTCCCTCAATTGCAGACAGACATTGAGATCAGAGAGACATCTCTTTACACTTGAACCATCTTCACAGAACATGGTGGGAGTGGATGGGCAAAGCTGTAACAGTGTTGGCCATTTATTATTACCTACAAGAGGAAAAATGCATCAGAAAGACAGTATGCCACCAAACAAGCTTTTGGCCTCCTCTTTACTCTGTCCTGGTACCTACAACATCCCATGAGAAAACTGAACCCAGGACACACACTTTTGTTTATAGATGACGTTTTGTGCCTATTTGAGACAGCTTTTCACTTTATTTCTAATGTTTCATCTCATTCTCCAGCAAGATTCTACCAAGCTGTGTATGTTTGCTCAGCCTCCCCACTAGCCTGTAAAATCCCCTATAAACTTGAATCCCTCCATCTTGTACAGGAGTTCACACAGAGTTAACGTGAGACCAAACCTTGAATGCTTTCAGCTTCATGAACTATGACTGCCATTCACTGCTGATGGCCCAGTTTCTCTTTGGAGTTGCCTAGATCTGAGCTGATGGTGGCCAAGAATAAAACTCAAGTGTTTGTGTTGGTTCCCGGTCTTTGCTATGGTAACCAGTGCCACAATGAACATATATGTGCATGTGTCTTTATAACAGAACGATTTATAATCCTTTTGGTATATACCCAGTAATGGGATTGTGGGGTCAAACGGAATTTCTATTTCTGGATCCTTCAGGAATCACCCAAATGCCCATCAATGATAGACTGGACAATGAAAATGTGGCATGTATACACCATGGAATACTACACAGCCATAAAAAAGGATGAGTTCATGTTCTTTGTAGGGACATGGATGAATCTGGAGACCATCATTCTCAGCAAATTGACACAAGAACAGAAAACCAAATACCACATGTTCTTGCTCATGGGTGGGTGTTGAACAATGAGAACACATGAGAACAGGGAGGGGAGCATCACACACTGGGGTCTGTTGGGGGGCTAAGGGAGGGACAGTGAGGGGCGGGGAGGTTGGGGAGGGATAACATAGGGAGAAATGCCAGATATAGGGGATGGGGGGATGGAGGCAGCAAATCACCTTGCCATGTATGTACCTATGCAACAATCCTGCATGATCTGCACATGTACCCTAGAACCTAAAGTACAATAATAATAAAAAACCTTAAGTGTTGTTGCAGAGATAGAATAGGACAAGTGTTGCAAAAACATAGGATATCATTTTGAAGAGCTTCTAAGCATAGGAAAAGATTCTTCACTTGATCTGAATAAAATGTGAATGTTTTGGCCTACCAATTAGAAAGGGCCAGAACATTTGGATGTATTCTTCATTACTGGGCTATAAAGTAACCTTCTAGATGTCAATTTGTTAAATTTAAAATGCACGCATTTTTGAACCAGTTATTTTTTGTGACTTTTTTAAATTATACTTTAAGTTCTGGGGTACATGGGCAGAACGTGTAGGTTTGTTACCTAGTAATACAAGTGCCATGGTGGTTTGCTGGATCCATTACCCCCTCACCTACATTAGGTATTTCTCCTAATGCTATCTCTCCCCTAGCACCCCACCCACCTGACAGGTCCCAGTGTGTGATGTTTCCCTCCCTGTGTCCATGTGTTCTCAGTGTTCAACTCCCACTTATGAGTGAGAACATGTGGTGTTTGGTTTTCTGTTCTTGTGTTAGTTTGCTGAGAATGATGGTTTCCAGATTCATCCATGTCCCTGCAAAGGATACAAACTCATCATTTTTTATGGCTGCATAGTATCTCATAGCATATATGTGCCACAGTTTCCCTGTCCAGTCTATTATTGATGGACATTTGGGTTGGTTCCAAGTCTTTGCTATTGTGAACAGTGCCGCAATAAACATATGTGTGCTTGTGTCTTTATAACAGAACAATTTATAATCTTTTGGGTTATATACCCAGTAATGGGATTGCTGGGTCAAATGGTATTTCTATTTCTAGATCCTTGAGGAATCACCACACTGTTTTCCACAATGGTTGAACTAATTTACACTCCCAGCAGTGTAAAAGTGTTCCTATTTCTCCACATTCTCTGCAGCATCCACTGTTTCCTGATTTTTTAATGATCACCATTCTAACTGGCATGAGATGGTATCTCATTGTGGTTTTAATTTGCATTTCTCTAATGACCAGTCATGACAAGCCTTTTTTGGTATGTTTGTTGGCTGCATATGTCTCCTTTTGAGAAGTGTCTATTTTTCACCCACTTTTTGATTTTTTTTTTTTTTCTCGTAAACTTGTTTATGTTATTTGTAGATTCTGGATATTAGCCGTTTGTCAGATGGATAGATTGCAAAAGTTTTCTGACACTCTAAGTTGCCTGTTCACTCTGATGATAGTTTCTTTTGCTGTGCAGAAGCTCTTTAGTTTAATCAAATCCCATTTGTCTATTTTGGCTTCCGTTGCCATTGCTTTTGGTATTTTAGTCATGAAGTCCTTGCCCATGCCTATGTCCTGAATGGTATTGGCTAGGTTTTCTTCTAGGGTTTTTATGGTTTTAGGTCTTATGTTTAAATCTTTAATCCATCTTGAGTTAATTTTTGTATAAAGTGTAAGGAAGGGATCCAGTTTCAGTTTTTTGCATACGGCTAGCCAGTTTTCCCATTTATTAAATAGGGAATCCTTTCCCCATTGTTTGTTTTTGCTAGGTTTTTCAAAGATCAGATGGTTCTAGGTGTGTGGCCTCTGCGGCCTCTGTTCGGTTTCACTGGTCTATATCTGTTTTGGTACCAGTACCATGCTGTTTTTATTACTGTAGACTTGTAGTATAGTTTGAAGTCAGAAAGCGTGATGTCTCCAAGCTTTTTTTTTTTTTTTTTTTTTTTTTTTGCTTAGGATTGTCTTGGCTATTCAGGCTCCTTTTTGGATCCATATGAAAAAGAAGGTATTTTTTCCAGTTCTGTGAAGAAAGTCAGTGGTAGCTTTATGGGGATAGCATTGAATATACAAATTACTTTGGGCAGTATGGCAATTTTTACGATATTGATTTTTTCCTAACCATGAGCATGGAATGTTTTTCCATTTATTCGTGTCCTCTTTTACTTCCCTGAACAGTGGTTTGTAGTTCTCCTTGAAGAGGTCCTTCACATGTCTTGTAAGTGTATTCCTGGGTATTTTATTCTCTTTGTAGCAATTGTGAATGGGAGCTCACTCATGATTTGGCTCCCTGTTTGTCCATTATTGGTGTATAGGAATGCTTGTGATTTTGCATATTAATTTTGTATACTGAGACTTTGCTGAAGTTGCTTATCAGCTTAAGGAGACTTTGGGCTGAGACGATGGGGTCTTCTAAATATACAGTCATGTCATCTGCAAATAGAGACGATTGACTTCCTCTTTTCCTAATTTAATACCCTTTCTTTCTTTTTCTTGCCTGATTGCCCTGACCAGAACTTCCATTGCTATGTTGAATAGGAGTGGTGAGAGAGGGCATTCTTGTCTTGTGCCAGTTTTCAAAGGGAATGCTTCCAGTTTTTGCCCATTCAGTATGATATTGGCGGTTGGATTGTCATAAATAGCTCTTAATATTTTGAGATAAGTTCCATCAATACCTAGTTTATTGAGAGTTTTTAGCATAAAAACCTGTTGATTTTTGCCAAAGAACTTCTCTGCATCTATTGAAATAATCATGTGGTTTTTGTCTTTGGTTCTATTTATGTGATAAATTACATTTATTGATTTGCATATGTTCAACCAGCCTTGCATCCCAGGGATGAAGTGGACTTGATCGTGATGGATAAGATTTTTTGATAAGCTGTTGGATTTGGCTTGCCAGTATTTTATTGAGGATTTTCACATCAGTGTTCACCAGGCATATTGGCCTGACATTTTCTTTTTCAGTTGTGTCTCTCCTGGGTTTTGTTATCAGGATGATGTTGGCCTTATAAAATGAGTTAGGGAGGATTCTTTCTTTTTCTATTGTTTGGAATAGTTTCAGAAGGAATGGTACCAGCTCCTCTTTGTACCTCTGGTAGAATCTGGTTGTGAACCCATCTGGTCCTGGACTATTTTTGGTTGGTAGGCTATAAAATGCTGCCTATATTTCAGAACTTGTTATTGGTCTAGTTAGGGATTCAACTTCTTCCTGGTTTAGTCTTGCAAATGTGTAAGTGTCCAAGAATTTATCCATATCTTCTATATTTTCTGGTTTATTTGCATGGAGTTGTTTGTAGTAATCTCTGATGGTAGTTTGTATTTCTGTGGCATTGGTGGTAATATCCCTTTTATCATTTTTATTGCATCTATTTGATTCTTCTCTCTTTTCTTCTTTATTAGTCTGGCTAGTGGTTTATCTATTTTGTTGAGCTTTTCAAAAAACCAGCTCCTGGATTCATTGATTTTTTGAAGGGTTTTTTGTGTCTCTATCTCCTTCAGTTCTGCTCTGGTCTTAGTTATTTCTTGTCTTCTGCTAGTTTGAACATCTTTATTTCTGCCTCCATTTCATTACTTATCCAATAGTCATTCGGGAGCAGGTTGTTCAGTTTCCATGTAGCTGTGTGGTTTTGAGTGAGTTTCTTAATCCTGAGTTCTAATTTAATTGCACTGTGGTCTGAGAGGCCATTTGTTATAATTTCCATTCTTTTGTATTTGTTGAGGAGTGATTTACTTCCAATTATGTGGTCGATTTTAGAATAAGTGTGATTTGGTGCTGAGAGGACCATATATTCTCCTGATTTGGGGTGGAGAGTTCTGTAAATGTCTATTGGGGCCACTTGGTCCAGAGCTGAGTTCAAGTCCTGGATATCCTTGTTAATTTTCTGTCCTGGTGATCTGTCTAATATTGGCAGTGGAGTGTTAAAGTCTCCGAATATTATTGTGTGGGAGTCTAAGTCTTTTTGTAGGTCTCTAAGAACTTGCTTTACGAATCTAGGTGCTCTTGCATTGGGTGCATATATATTTAGGATAGTTAGCTCTTATTGTTGCATTGATCCCTTTACTATTATGTAATGCCCTTCTTTGTCTCTTTTGATCTTTGTTGGCTTAAAGCCAGTTTTATCAGAAACTAGGATTGTAACACTTGATTTTTTTTGCTCTCCATTTTCTTGGTAAATCTTCCTCCATCCCTTTATTTTGAGCCTATATGTGTCTTTGCATGTGAGATGGGTCTC